CCAAATACTTAAAAACACAGTATATTTTTACAACAAACGATATTTTCCCCACCACAAAGAATTAACCATCTTCTCTAGTAATTTCCATTGTGCAAGAACGTAGAATATAGAATAATAAGCCTAAAGAGGATCTAAAGAGAGGCAACGTTACATAAAACTCTTCTTCTCTAACCATATTAAGCCCAAGTTTATCTCAAGTCATAATTGTAGTTAACATATGCCATTTCTCTGTGATTTTTTTTTTTGAGACAGGGTCTCATTATGTTGCCCAGGCTGGCCTTGAACTCCTGGTCTCAAGCGATCCTCCTGCCTTGATGTCCCCAGTAGCTGGGACTACATGTGGGCGCCACAGTACCTGGTTTCTTGTGACTTTCTTAATGTGCAGAAAACAAAACAAGGAAACAGTATTAAATAAGGATGTCCAGGTAAAATTGAAAAACAAATCTAAAAGTTAATGTAGATAAAAAGGTAAGGGAAAAATTCACATACATATGAAAAATATTTCTATTGCTGTGTATCCTTGATTTTATCCATAGATCTTAACAATGGTTCATGAGGTCCTCAATGACTATTTAATAAAACTGTGGAATTCATAAAGGACATCAGAGAAATAAGATTATGAATTTACTGATGCATATGAATTGGAATCTATATTTGCCATCTTGCACAAACAGAAAAATTTCTAATTAATTTTCCACCAAAAAAATCTTAAAACTTTAAACAAATCAGCTTATTTTAAATAAAAAAAGTTAGAAATGTTATGATAGCTATGTACAAAGTATGTATCTGTACACTCTACTTAACATTCTAAGTAAAGGTATCTTTGAAACTTTTTTGCTATTACACAGTATTGGTACCATACTCTGTAATGAGCACAGAGGAATATAAGAACTTTTGTGCTCAGTATATTGTAAAATCATGTTCAAAATGCTATAAACATTTTGCTTAGAAGGATTTGAAAAATCCTACTTAATGACTTCTTAAGTCATTGGACTAAATTTTTTTTAAAAACTTTTAAAAAGATATTAATGATATGGCTCATTAGCCAACAACCAATTAGTAAATGGGCAAAAGATACAAACAGAAATTTCACTGAAGAGGATAAACAGATGGCAAAAAAAAGAAGCCTGTAAATATGTTCAACATCATTATTAACTAGGGAAATGCAAATTAAAACCCACAGTGAGGTATCACTACACATCCATCAGAATGGCTAAAATAAAAAATAGTGACAACACCAAATGCTGGTGAGCACATAGAGAAACAGGATCACTCACACTTTGCTGGTGGAAATGTAAAATGGTACAGCTACTCTGGAAAACAGCTTGGTAGTTTCTTATAAAGATAAATTGGTATCTTTTTCCCTAAGCAATACAGATATATGTCTAGACAGAGCCATTTTATAACAGACCCAATTTACAATAAAGGGGAGAAAGACTATATAGAGTAACAGAGAAGTTCAGAAATATCTGATTTTGTAGGCTCCTATTTCTATCCTTCCTACTCCCAAGATCATTCCTTGTTCCTTTAGAACAAAGGTCCCATGAGAATATGGTGATGATACAGGGAGTGATTTAGAATAGATAGATGCTGGTGACAAAGTATTTATGGCTATGAGGCTCCAAAATTTAAAAAACCAACATGATTTTGAACCACCTATTTACCTTTTTGAGGTTACCCATTTTGACTGGTTTTAACCAGATGACCAGGCTTTGGGTATATGAGATGATTCTGGGACCAGGTAGGTCATAAACGTCCAAGGTGTGTTTGGGGCCTTTAACTCTTATTTAAAAAACATGATCTAAATTTCCCAAAGGGATTCAGAATCCTTTAGGATGGATTCAAGCCTTCTAGGCTATCTCTGGGATGACTCTAGAACCACTTAAAGTCAAAGAACTCCAGGGTAGTGCTACATCTACTCTCAAAAAATTACAAAATTCTTGCCAGACTCCTGGGCTGAATTATTTTATGTTTTGTCATTATTTTTTTCTCTTACCAAGTTGTGATTTGATGGACTATTTTAAAGTAGCAACTGGTTCCCAGTATAAGTCCAGAAGGGACTATTTATGAAGTTCCTACCTTATAGCACCCAGAGTGTTTGGCACTTTTAAGATTCAATCTTTTTGTCATCTGCAGTCAAATATACAAAATCTGTAAATAAAAAGGCTTCAATTATACCTCCCAATGTAACTGGGTACATTTATATGATGCATATCTCTACACAAATACATGTGCAAATACATAAACATATGAAGAATTTTAAATAAACAATGTGAGGATCCTAGCTCTGATTAACAAAGTAGTCCTTCTTAGTTGAAGAGAAACATATTTTACTTGCAACAAATATAAACTGCTCCCTATCAACAAATGTATTAACTAGGACAAAAATGTGTATGCAAACAGTACACTTACAAACATGAAGTAAAAATTTATCCCAAAAATAGGGAAGCAAAATCGTAAGTTCTAGGGAAATAGATATGATTTCTGCTTTCAGGGAGCTTCCAGTCTGGTAAAGGTTTGCACAGAAAGCAGATGAAAGTGAGTGATCATCTCCTTTGCTCAGAGATGAAGAGGAAGCAAAGAAGCAAATCAAATCAAAGATGATCTGTAGAATACATTAATCCTACACTGAAGTCTTGGACCTACTACAGTAATTAAGACCACAGAAATCACAGAGGCGGAGCTGAATGGATAAAAATATCAGAAGAAAATTACATGAGATTTTTTTTCCTCATTAACCAGCAAAGTATTATAGAAACTTTATTTATTTTAAGATACTACTATCTGTTTTTGATAACAACCATTTCCTAAGGTAAAATGAGGCAGAGGGAAAGGAATATGACACTGTATTCACTGAGTCTTTGATTTTCTCCTAACAGCCTCTATCAGTGATTTTTAATTGGGGGCAATTTTGCCTCCCAGGGTGACAATGTTTGGAGACATTTTTGGCCTTAACGACTAGGGGGATATTATTGGTAGCTAGAGGGCAGAGGTCAGGGATTTGGTAAACATCCTATAATGCACAGCATAGCACCCCAAAACAAAGAATTATCCAGTCTAAAATATCAATGCTGAGGTTGTGAAACCATGTCATGGTTGGATATAAAAGATTTAAAAATCAGGCTGGGCACAGTGGCTCACGCCTGTAATCCTAGCACTCTGGGAGGCCGAGGCAGGAGGATCGCTTGAGCCCAGGAGTTTGAGGTTGCTGTGAGCTAGGCTGATGCCACGGTACTCTAGCCCAGGCAACAGAGCCAGACTCTGTCTCAAAAAAATAAAAAATAAAAAAAAATAAAAAATAAAAAAAAGATTTAAAAATCAGTAAGTCTACAATATAAAAGCAGTTAGTACCACTTTAAGATGGAATGTACAAAAACATTTTCCTCCTTGATGAGATAGCTGGAGACCTAAAAATATCTGATAGATCCATATGGAATAATAAAACATGCTGAAAAATAGTAGCACAAATTTTTTCAAACTCTAAATATTAGCATACAAATGAAAAATAAACTCGAAAGATAGAACATTTTTTTTGCTCAATTGATTTTGACTATCAACTGTTCCTATAACCACAAAAGCAAATGTTTCATGTTTCTTATTTTGGTTAAATCTGACAAAAGATTTACTAAATTGTATCACTAAAAATGTCCAGAAATACTAAAAATGAAAGATTAGATTTTAGATTCACAAAAGGAAAAAGCAGCTGATTCTTGAAGAGACCCACAATTCCAATGAGAGATATTCAAAGTTATTGTCCCTCATTACCTAAAAGATATTCTTATCCTTTATTTTGTGGTTATACGCTGGGAAAGAAGAATGTGGAAAAGAAATGAATAAACTTTTAGGTATTAATAATATTGTAATTCAGTACAGCCCAACACAAAAAGACAGAATTATTTCATATGAAATCAGACCCACTGAGAAGCAGAATCTATAATGGTAAAACAATAAAGCAGCTTTCATATGATTTTGATAGGAAAGCCTTTAATTGGCCACTAAGCTTTATAAAAAGGATGTAAAAAAGAAAAAGAATGAAAAGAATATTATCTATATATGAGATTTGACTTACTACAGTAAATAAAAACACTTCTATTCAACAAAAATATTTCCAAATCTTAATTAGTGTGGTTAATGATACTATATATTTTCTCCAATGCCTTCATCAAAAAACTTTTAATAATTTAAGAAAACCCTTGAAGTTCAAATTGTAGAAAGTGCAATTTAACTGTCAGGTTCTATCTTATTGGTGTCCAAAATGAACACATGTGATGGCAATAACAAAATCCTCTGCAACAGTCTTTCCTTTAGTTACATTATTATGTGACAGCTAGTTTTATAACAGTAGGACTTTATGTGATAAATCTGTTATTGCTGCAAATCCAAATGGAACTTACCCCAAATGTAGGGAGGGGCAAATAACATGGGAACAGGTCAACTGCCTTAGGACAATTTTATCCCTGGCCTGAAGCTACTCACAACTCTTACTCCTCTAAATTGTTTCTAGGAAGAAAGTTTAAGAATGTGGGACTGTCCCTGCTCCTCTCCGTGGATCTCTGGCTCAGTGGCCTTAGGGCAATCTTTAGCATGGACACACTCTCATCACTTCTAACAACTATCCACTGCACATTATCTCAGAGAGATGCAGAGCCTAGACAAGTATTAAAAAGATACATGGGCCAGGCACAGTGGCTCTGACTGTAATCCTAATACTCTGGGAGGCCAAGGCGGAAGGATCACTTGAGGCCAAGAGTTCAAGAACAGCCTGAGGAAGAGTGAGACCCCTGTCTCTACAAAAAAATAGAAAAATTAGCTGGGCGTGGTGGTGTGCGCCTATAGTCCCAGCTACTCAGGAGGCTGAGGCAGGAGGATTGCTTGAGCCCAGAAGTTTGAGGTTGCAGTGAGCTATGGTGATGCCACTGCACTCTAACCCAGGCAGCAGGGAGAGAGAGCCTGTCTCAAAACAAACAAACGAACAAAAAAAAAAAAACAAAGATATACGGACAACCAAAATACTCCAATGAAGGCAATTCGTAAGTCACCAGTAATTTTGGGCACTTTCTTCAAACTAAGCTCTATCAATTAGGCACTTAATAAAAACAAAAGACATTAATGCAAGCTTCTCAACAACTAAGAAAGGTAACAGAAGAAAGGCAAGATTTATGTTAACTGCTTGCAATTTGTAAAAAACAGAATGTTATACTTTAACCAGAAGTTTTTGAAAGAAATGCTATTTGAGAAGGAAAATAAATGGTATTTTTCTGTTCCTTAAAAATCAACATCCTTTTTAGTTCGTCAACTAAAATTAGTTTTTCAGTGTTTTTCAATATATAAATAGTGCTCAGATTTTGGTTGAACAAGAAAAAATTAAGGCAGTGGCTTTAAGCTCAATAAAGGAAAGCACTGACTAACAAATAAGCTTATGTGAGAAGGACATACTGAGCCCATATTTGGATACAACATTGAAAAACTATGGCTTTAACTATAAAATATTAATATTTCAAAATTCTACATCTTCTCAGTTATTCTTTCTTTTTAGGACTTCAAATAACCCACTTAATTTTAAAGAATTAAAGAAATACTTTCCACATAATTTTGGAACAAAATGTGAATGGTGCTTGACCCAGAACTATCAGCTCAGATGGTAAACTGTTATGTTCTATTGACCTAGTATAAAAAGGAAAAGGACCCATATTGTCAAAATATGGTTGAAAATGGCTAATGTCCTTTGGAATTTGCTACAAAACAGAAGAAATAAAGTTTTAAGGTATTGCTGCCTTCCTTACAATCTTACCAAGGTTTGGGAAAAAAGTAATAGTTGTTAGCTTTTTAAAAAGCAAAGCTTTTTCTCTCAGGTTGTGTAGTTCAGTTTAAATCTGTCATTGTCATATTGGTTATCCCTGAGCTTTGTCTCCTCTGCACATCATATAAACCAGTCATCCATGGTTTCAATCATTTCATTTAGTATTATGTCTTGTTATACCAATTCATGGATCGTTTCACGGCTTTAACCCAGTTTTCCATACTCATTTCATATTCTTGACATTTCTTCTGTGGCTTGAAAACTATTTCACTTTGCCTTAATTTCTTTAGTTCTTCCTTGTCAGTCCAAAACCCTATAGAAGAAAAAATTATTCTAAAATTTTAAGGCAAGTAATAAGTCCATAAAGTTTGTACAGAAACCTATGTGAGTTGGTGGTACAAAGATAAACAATTATTATATTAAAACAAAACCCAAAATATTTTATGGCTTTTTAATTTTGTTAGATTGACCATTCCTGGAAATAAATATACCGGATTTAAAAATCTTTTGGTTTCTAACTTACAGCTTTATTTCTGTGTGGCAGGGTATTAACAATGTATCACTTCTAAAGCAGCCACACCCTGTCATCAATTAATTTGATGACTTAATATTTAAAAACATACAAGTGAGAAATAGTATATTTTCTTTTTATACAATTAAAATAAACAAAAATAAATTATGATTTTTGTTATATATCTTTTTTTCTTTTTGTTTTTTTGAGACAGCGTCTCACTGTGTTGCCCAGGCTAGAGTGCCGTGGCGTCAGCCTAGCTCATAGCAACCTCAAACTCCTGGGCTCAAGCGATCCTCCTGCCTCAGCCTCCCAAGTAGCTGGGACTACAGGCATGTGCCACCATGCCCGGCTAATTTTTTTCTATATATTTTTAGTTGTCCAATTAATTTCTTTCTAATTTTGGTAGAGACGGGGTCTTGCTCTTGCTCAGGCTGGTCTCGAACTCCTGAGCTCAAACAATCTGCCCGCCTCGGCCTCCCAGAGTGCTAGGATTACAGGCGTGAGTCACCGCGCCTGGCCCCTAATATATCTTGAGGTAAGTAGCAACTCCCTGGGATATGTATAAAATTGAAAGTTAATATAATTAATATATAATATATATTAATATATATAATTATATAATATAATTAAGAAATTAATATAAAAGTTTCTTTTTCAAATTGTAGCATTTCATACATTCACACAAATTATTTAAATTCCAATTCAAGACAATATTGTAGTTCTAGCATATCTTGTTCTTTGCAAAGACGATCATGTGATTTATAATAAAAAGCAGCAAGAGAATATTTATAACTATGATCATAAGTAGTCTGAAATGATACAGATATCTTGCTGATAAGCTCAACATATCCCACCTACTGAGAGGTCCCTCTCACCTGTTTTGAAGTACTAACATAGTCCACAAGTCTTCATGAAATACATTTTCTCTTACCAATAAAACTGACACATTAAAATTTTTTCCTAAAATTTTCTGTCAGGTCACATTCTTTTCATTTACGAAGTCAGCATTTTAAACTATTAATTTATAGAAGTTTTAAAAAGACTGAAACTAATTTTCATTAGTACACTACATTAGATAAATCTAGTAATGAAAATAAATGTTTCTTAAAATCCTTATTTCCAGAATTTATTATTTACATTTTAAGGCATATATATTTTTAAAAGCCATATTATAAAATATGTATAAAACAGATCAGTTTCTGGGTAAATTCTGAAAATACAGAGGACATACATAATCTTGAGGTCTCACATTTCTGAGACAAAAGCAAAGGTTTGAAATTAAATATAGACATAATGAAGTAGATAAAACTCAAGCCAGTATGATATTATGTGTAAGAATAACCTGCATGTATTTATGTACTGTATTTTAAGTGTTCAAGAGAATCTGACATATTTAGCCTTATAAGGTGAAAAGTATAGAAGAATTTGATTAACTTTATAAATATTAGAATGTTTGTAAGAACTTCGTTTATTATAATTATAGGCTTCATTTATTCAATTTGCAATAGCTGTTTAAGTATTTGAGATTTTCCTTGTTATAATTTTAGGTTTATACAATCAGGCATTTCAAATTATTAAAAGTGAAATGAACTCTATTAAATTTACAGGAGTTGGAATATAGAAAGGAATTTAAATTGCAAAGGGGACTGATTATTTAAAGAAAAGCTTATTTTCTTCCCCTTGAATTAATCAAACATTAATCAATGAACAAATGAAAGTGGTAGTTTTAATTTTATTCAAAATTACCAGATTTTTAGAAGAATAAAATTTAAGCTGAATTTACCAAGATTTCATGCTTTGTGGATTTGTAACTACAATATGCTAAACATTAGCCTAAAACTTTTAAATGTAAAATATCCTATTTTGCACACTCTCCTCACATACAGAAACATATTAAAATATTCCCAGTGTCCCAAAGCATCATCTGCTTCCTAGGGAGCCCCCTAATTAGCATGCCCCTCTCCATTCTTTATTCTTCCTCACTAATCCTTTCATCAATTGTCAAAATGATCTGTTCAAATGCAGATCTTTCCATGACTCTCGCTGGCTTAAAATTCCTCAGTTGATCAAGTCCAAATTCCTTTTTTTTTTTAATACTTTTTTTCCTTTTTTCCCCTCAATCCACCCCTAACCCCAAATTCCTCTCTCTCTCTCTCTTTTTTTTTCGAGACTGGGTCTCGTTCCGTTGCCCAGGCTGGAGTGCAGTGGTGTCATCATAGCTCACTGTGGGGCTCCAGCAATTCGCCTGCCTCTGCCTCCCAAGTAGCTGAGACTACAGGCACACCCCACCATGCCCAGCTAATTTTTCTACTTTTTGTAGAGACAGGGTCTCACTCCTGCTTAGGCTGGTCTCAAATTCCTGGCCTCATGCAGTCCTCCTGCCTCGGCCTCCCAAAGTGCCAGGATGACAGGAATGAGCCACTGTGCCTGGCCCCAAATTCCTCTTTATTAGGAGTCACCACAAGTGGACCTCTACGTACCTCTCCAACCTCCCCTCTTGCTCTCACCCTATCAGGACTTCCCATAATTGGCCAGTGCCTTTGCACAAGCCATTTTCTCTATTGAACTACCATCTGTCATCCTTCCCTCACCTGGCTATGTGCTAACCCCTTCAAAATTGAGTTATATGTCCCCTCCTCTGGGAAGCCTACGCCATTTAATATGCTATGGCTATTCACTGGGTTTATCAAACACGTTTAATACTTGCTTGACTTACCTGTCTGCTCCCACCAGGGATCAAGGACTATGGCTTTTAACCTCTTTATTCCCAGCAGTGACTGTCATGTAACAGGTACTCGACATTGTTCAATAAATAAAATAATGAAGGGGTTTCTAATGCCAAAGACAAGCCTACCAACAAAGATTTCCTTCTTGAGCAAACTACTGTCTCTTCTGAGCTCTTTTTCAACTGGGCCTCAATTTTTGGACTTCCATGTTCATCTCTGCATTACTTAATTTTAGCAATAATCCTACTAGGTCAGCAGCCAGAATCTCCTATCCTCGATATCTGCTCATCCTCATTATTTCATCCTCCACTATCTCCCAAGTGATATCTGATCACCCTGGCCTGCCTTCAGCAAGAATCCTGTTAGGTCAATTTAGCCAGAATTTCTCCTTACCCCTATGTTTCCTCTCAGTAATTTTCCACCTACTGACCCTCATTCTGTTCTTTGGCTATAAATTCCCACTTTTCCTTGTTGTGTTCAAAGTGGAGCCTAATATTTCTCCCCCACTACTAGATCCAGCTGAAGTAGTCCCTACACCTATCTTGATAGTCCCCCCAGGTAAAGTCTGCCTTATGGTCCTTTAACAAGTATTACTGAATAATTTTCTTCTTTAACACTATCTACCTGGAAAGCTTACCCAGAGACCCTTGCTAGAGACCAAAGCAGCTGAGAGTTAACTGTCCTCATCTCGTACTTTTTCTGACTAAAGGAGTAAAGTAAGGATGGAAGAGGTGCAACCAGACCCACCAACAAAGAAGGTCACAGGGTACTTATGAGCAATATGCATATGTGTACGGAACTAATGGACACCAAGGCTTTCTAGATCTTCTCTACAATTTTGAGATTTGAGAGGAGAAATGCTATCTATGAGAAACAGTTTACAAGAAAGCTCTTGTATTTACAAAATCCACACATACCAACAGCAAGACCAGCTAAAGTAGCTGCACCTAAGCATGACATATCAATGTGGACAGGTCTGTCTATATTCTCATTAATCAAGTCTGAAGTCATCTGCATGACAAAATCATTCTTACAAACTCCTCCATCTGCCCTGCAGGGAGAAAAATAAAGAGAGATAAATTACTACAACAAAAGCATCATTAATTCTTCTTAAATGGGCCATATATTTTCTTAAATCCTTGATTTTATTTTGTAAGTTTAACTTTTTAATTCCAAAATTATATCACTTAGCATTGATCTGATGACAGAGGATCTTACTGGGTAATAAACATTTTTCCTTATTTATGCCATCGATTTTCCCACCTGCCCCATTTTTCTTGGGACTACTTCAAAATAGGCCAAGTATAATAAACAAAGACAACACAAAAATTCATCTGGACATTACAGGAAAGAAAGTCAAGAAATTTGATGCTTCCTTGCCAAAAAATAGCTACATACCCCAAAAAGGGGATTTCAAAGATTTATATAATACACATATGGGTGCCAAGATGTTTCCAAATTTCATAAATCTGTAATTAGCTTTCCTTTCCTCTCCAAATTCCTACAACCAAGAATTTCGTTGCAAAGGAGCCAGGCATAAGTTCTTTTTGAAATCCTGAATAATCATAATAATGCAAACACTAATAGCAGCTACCACTTACTTCTAATTTCTAATTAAATCTGTTAGAAACAAAGTTTACATACCTAATTTTTGTTACAGGAATACGGATCTCTTTCTGCATAATCTCGTATAATTGTTTGTTTCTAATAAAGAAACAAGATAACTATTTAGAAGAAATTTATATCATAATAATTCTCTATTTTATTTACTTGGCATTTATAAAATATGCAAAAGAATAATATTAAAGAAAAATATCGTGCCAGATAGAAGTCATCTTCAGTGGTCTCCAACTTTTTTGGCACCAGGAACCAGTTTCATGGAAGACAATTTTTCCCCGTATGGGGGGGGGCAGGGAGTAGGCAGAGCTCAGGCAGTGATGCCAGCGATGGGGAGTGGCTGTAAATACATACAGATGAAGCTTCATTCGTCCACCGCTCACTTCCTGCTGCGTGGGCACCCACCCACCCACCATTCCCTAAATTTCATGGAAGACAATTTTTACACAGACCTGGCTGGGTTGGGAGGGTGGCAGTGGAGGCCATGGAACTCTGCCGCCCAGTCCCTAACAGGCCACGGCCACTACCAGTTCGTGGCTCGGGGAGTTGGGACTGCAGATTTAACTGATGCCCAGATAAGCAAGAAACTCAGGTCCTCAGGTTTTTCACCTTCATGTAAGAGAGTATCATTTTTATTTAACAACTAAATTTAATCTATTACCATTATATAAAGAAAAATTTAAAGCAGGCACCTATTTAATAGATAGCTATTAAGATGACATACCACACATAACATCTAATAGAATTCAGCAAACAAATGATCATTTTGTAATCACAGAAAATTTTATTTTAACCATTATAAACATTCTATATTCTTTTTTTTTTTGAGACAGAGTCTCACTGTGTTGCCCGGGCTAGAGTGCCATGGCGTCATCCTAGCTCACAGCAACCTCAAACTCCTGGGCTCAAGC